TACCGCAACTATTCCCCTGTTGCAGAACAGAGGGCTTTTTGTTCATGTCAGATGAACAAGCGACTTCCAAGCACTCAGTCGGTGGAACATGTTCAGCTTGGGTTGGAATGTGCACTGTGTGGCAATGTGCAGGCGTAATATCGTGAAGCTTTGCAACTTGTTTGCCTCCTTGGGAATTTAACTAACAATTCATTGGTATATTTTGACACGCGTGCTGCAGCTCACCAAAAAAGGTTTCACGCTCTGTACGCACGCATTCTGCAGAGACTGTGAATGTTGCTTCTTGGAAAGTAAGCATATTGACAAAGTACAACTCAGGGGTCATGATCGTAGAAGGTTAAGATGTATGTTATCGTTACTTCCAACTACAGCACAAGATGCCCTTCCAACGGGTGTGCCAAGCAATGCCTCACCATCCATCTTCCGCACAATCATCCACCGCCACCTTGGTTTTGCATTAAGGGGGCACTGATTGTCTCTATACCTCAAGATCCGATCTTGGTATAACAATTAATAGATAAAGTGCTTCTCCGATGATCTTTGGTCGTCATGCGTGGGGGATGTAGCAGCGAGGTTCCTGATTGTGACAAAATTGCCAGCCTCATCAGTGAAGTTGGTGAATATGAGAAAAACAACTTTTGTCACTGCAGTCGGTCACGGTCAAATTGATCCATTTACATGATCGTTCTAATTATGTCGGGAGCGTTTTGGTGCAATTCATTTGAACTAAATTAGCAACAACCTTGCAATTTACGAGCCGTAGCAATTATTACATCTTATTTGCGCAGCTTTGTGGATAATTGATATTCCTTATGGGTACGTGGAACTAAAATGTTATCACACATTAAAGTTTGCAGTGGCCTGAAAATAAAGTGCATTTAATGAGTCTATAGTTGGTTGGTATACAATAATTGCTGTCTTTTGTCTTGCAATCATTTATTTTTCTTTCCTTTAGTGTTTTTTTCGCTATCTCTCTCTCTCTCGCTCTCTCTCAACTCCATTTTTTGTTTCTCTTCTTCACCCTCTTTTCCCTTCTTATATCTAGAAGACGTTTTAATAACTTACTTTATGAATCCAATCGGGCAGAAGGAAAGTGTTTTCAGTGAAATATGGCTTCATTGGCTTGTCAAGTTCGCTTGCTGCGTTTTTACAATGTCCATGTTAATCTGTTCTGTAGTCTATTCGATGGAGTTACTCGACTGAGTAAATTAAGATCTGGCTAGGAGTAGGATTGCCCTTATCACGGGGCCAGAAGGACCAGTGCTTCCCAAGCCCGCAGCTGCTCTGAATGAATCCTAAAGCAATCAAGATAAATCTCATTAACGTGTTATAAAAAGTGCGTTTTCTTTTTACCAAAAAAATAAAAAAACACTTCTCTGTATATGTCAACGCAAAGGTGCACCTGATGTAACGCGAGACCAGGGCTGCCAACACGAATTTCTTTGTAATGGACCGCTTTGACGAAGTAAGATCCCACGGGGCAAAAGGCCGCTGGCCCCCGGAAGAATGCTTCTATCACCCCGTCAAAGGATGTCGTGACAGTCGCTGCGGCGTCTGTACTCGGACGCGGTATTTTCTTACCTGTTGTTTTTAGCTCTTTCAGAATCCTCGCCTCACGTTGGTGTAAGAGATGCCGGTGGCTGCGATAATTCTACCTCTATGGGGAAATCCTTTATACCCTGCCAGCGGAAAGAAGTAATGATGCGGTAGAGACATTATGTACAACCCACATAATTGTCGGATGGAGTTCTTAAGTGCCTGCTAGAGACATATCGAACCATAAATACTCCAGTCATCGTCGTCTGATATCCACAATATTTCCTGTCAGTATTCCCAGAATCTTAAGATTGGTTATAGCTTTCATAATGATAGAAACAACTGTTACTGCAAGCTTCGCCCACTCAGCACGGCCAGCAGTCTTTTGATATCATATAAACTAATGATTTAAATGAATAACCATATACATGTACGTGTAGATATACGACAGAAATGGCTTTTCATATATACCACTAAAACCCCTTAATTGTCGACAAATTTTTCACTGGTAATTCATCATTTTCAAATGCAGAGTGTTGTTAAAAGTCTAAAATAAATTCGACTCCGTTGACAATGTTCAGCAACATTTGCGAGCAGTTCTTGACAAAATCAGCTTATAGCATGGAAGATTCAGATTATTCTCAAATTACTTCCCTACAAATCGTCAAAAAATATGCCCATTGGGGGAATGAAGATGTACACGGCTGTTTGAAGTGCATGAAAAGATCTTTCAGTCCCAAAAGTACATGTTTTCATTTCATAATTTCCAATTTGTAATTGTAACAATTAAAGATCTTTAAGCTGAATGAAAGTTAATCGGCTTAATAGGCTTTTCTTGGATTCTTTTTCTCCGATTCTTTTTCCCATCTCTACAATGGAACATCTCTTTTTGTCTGATTTACAGTGTCACAAGCGCTTTTCTGGAATCCTTGGTGTCGTGATACAAGTGAAAAATAATGGCAGTGATTGGTTGTAATCTCCTTTTAAAAGCCCGCATTTTGAAAGCGCGGCTTTCATTCAAAGACTGAGAATATGAATAATTTGGTAACGATGGTGTTGGACACGGCGTCTGTTGGCTGATATACGTCGGCAGAGTTGAGGGTTGGAACCCAAGCAATACAACAACGATAGGAGGATTTTATAGAAATAAGGTCAAGGATTTTGGAGTCAGTGTAGGAAGTAACATGGGTTCATTTTAGTGGAGTTTGTCCGTGACTCCCTGCAAAGTAATGAGAAAACCGCAAAATAGGCCTAAATAGTATGACGACTAAGGGCACAAAAAATAACTTCCCAAAAATCATTTTAGGATTACGTCTTCTATTTTGATCTATTTTTCCGAACTATTAACCGCGAACTATTTTCAAGATGTATTTTTTTAGGCCTAAATACATCTTGAAAATAGTTCTTGAAAAATAGGTCGCGGTGCCCGCTGCTTCACTTGACTCGGACCGGCCAGCCGACCCCGGCAAGCTCGATGGTCGAGTGGTTAAGACATCTGCACGAGTAAGCAGGAGGTCGTGGGTTCGAGTCTCACCCGAGTAAGCTTGTGAGGGTTTTTTGCAAGCTCTCGGACAAGCACTGAGCATACAGTACTTATCAATCTACGTTGGGTAAGGGCAAAAACCCGTTACATAAAGATTAGTCTTGTTCGCATAAAACACGATACAAACACTGGGTCCAGTAATTTTTTTTCCCTCAGAGAACATATCTCTTTCTAATTGAGTGCCATTGAGGCTGCCATATGGTGAGAGACAAATTACAGTGATCATATTTTGTGTTCTTTCAATTCCATCATTTAAAGACAACCTCAACGACAACAAAGTCTTGAAAAACCCCAAATGAAAGGGCGCCAACACGCCTGCAGGCAACAACGGCACTGCGCGTGAATGACCGCAGACAAAGGGCCATTATTATTTCGTGTCTACGCAGCGCACTATTCACGTAATCTTTATTACATGTGAATCCATACATAGTAACGACGCGTTAAAATGTTGGTCGGGACCCATTAGTTATTACGTCCCTTGACTCTCAGGAGAGACAGGGACGATTTTGCATGTAGCTGATGCTTTCTGTTAAGTGACGTTGCTGTTGTTTGCTCCTGATCTATCCCTGATGAATGGTTTCCACCATTTTCGACCTCTCTCTCGCTCCGTTCTTCAGACAGGTACTCAGGGGACAAACTCGAATTAGAGGATCAATTTTTACAATTTTTTTCCTGCATTGAATTGGGTAGGTATTCTCTTTTGTAGTCTCTCGAATCCGTATGTTAATTTGAGAGTCACTGACAAACCGCTATTAATGCCCCTCAATAGAAATCAAATGGGGCAGGATGAAATCTGCCTTTCCAAGCGACTGAAGAGAAAACACAAGTGATTCTACACTTCAATTATCGTGGTGTAAACTTAACACTGTTGGTTTAATGGACACCAGGGAGTAAATTTTAAAAATATCACGCGATGAAATTCTTCTCAGGCATATATTTTGTTCAATTTTATACGCTTCTTCAGTGTATGAATACTATTTGGCATCCCTTTAAGTTAAATTTTACCGTGGAATACATTATTGCACTCTTTACAAATGAGGGCGACGTTGCTGTGATCCCATTCAGTGGAAGTCAGCGTTAAGTTTACAGATTTTTCCGTTCGGATTGTGATCCCAAAATTTGCTCATTCAAAATAGTTTTGAGGAAGGGTCGCTCTTTGGCTTATTGCCATGTACTTACACAGCAACGAGTCACTAAAAAGATGTTTTTGACAGCCAAAATGTGCACCAGTTTTGGGGCGCAATCAATGCAACATTAAGGCTTTCTGCGTGGAATAATGTTCGCAGTTTTGTTCATGAATACAGAGACTGTCCCATACACCATTAAATAAGGTGGCACCAAATTACTTTTTAAATGTTGGAAATAAGCCTTTAAATGAAACTGTAGTGGATTGCATGTGACCCTTTACCACATATTGTCACTACAATTTTTGCAGCGAAATGATAATAGCACCTGCCTGAATTTAGATTAACTTTTAAAAAAAGAGAAAAACTAGGATACCTGTGAAATATTCATTGCTGACACTGAACATATCATACACTTAATTTTTCGAAATATGTTCTCAGAAAACACCAGCGACTCTCTTTGGAGGGTTCCCCACATGTTATTTCTTTCTGATAAGTTCCAGATTTTGTTCATCGCGTAAACATTTATGGAAGCAATTATTACGCAATAAATACAATGTAAGTAGGGCATGTCCCGATTTGTTCAGAACAATATCGTTCTTATTCGGCCTATAAAACTAAGTAGCAGAAGTACAAATACAGTGTCATGAATTTTATTTCTATTATGAAACGCATGGGCAACATGACTGCGTAGAAGCAACACCACAAGTTTGGGTTATTGTTCTTTTTAACAGGCCATTTATTGTCAATTCTCGTAAATTCTCCAGGTTACTGAGGACCCACCCACTCCAGTTACGTCTCAATAACGGCGCTGAGGGGGCACTGGTAACCTACGGTTGAGGGATTCGACCCACGCCGCCCCCGATTTTTCCTTCATGGGTGGGTCACAACAAGGATGCACTTGATGTTCTTGGACGCTTCGCTAACGCGGGTTATCATCCCCTTTCTTCATTTTAAGTACAAGCGTAGGATGAGCACAGTAATTGATGGCTTCCGTTATAACTGACAATAGACGGGTTCGAAATCGCCGAATGTGAAAAACACGCACACACACACAAAAAGAAAACACCCATACACACTCCAAAGAAAAACAAAAGCCAAGTAATGTAAAGCATTCCCTAGCTGTCTGAGGCATAGACCTCTCCCGATCAGCTGCGCTTGATTTACGGTTGCGTTGGCAACACCGGAGGAGCAGCCACTCATCGCCTCACGGCTGATTTCCTTCTCACTCATCTTTCCTCCCGGCTCCTGTGATAAGCTCTCAACATCTTCAACCTCGCAACGGCAAGGTTCGGAACCAAAGCGCAGCACATCTGACTCGTCGCAGCTGGACGCGCCACGGACAAACTCCAGTCCGGAACACGCTGTGCTTTTCTCCGCGAGACGTGAGTGACATAGTCCTCGCTCATCGACGCTAAATCCAACGCGCCTCGTCTGACTTTTGTAAAACGTGGTAGGGTTTTTTTCGTTGTTGCCCTCGGAAGGACCACGGACAGACGGTACAGCCCGGGCCAAGCTCGGTACATCTGCCGTCGGAATATGGCAAGGTGGTTCTACGTACTGTGCACAGGCTTCATTGCTCTCATGCTAGTCGTCGACGTAAATGGTAAGTTTCGCTCGACAAAACCCAATAAAGTTCGGGAAGATCCTATACCCGACAGCCGGGTCAGAAATTAAAATTTCATTATTTTGCTGTCGGAACTAATAAGGTCATAAAGATGCAGATTCGTTAATCATGAACGTAGAAATAGAATGTTCAGGAATCCACCTGCTCTTAGCTGAGTGGTGGGCTTTTAATGCGATGCTAAAGGGAGCACACTAGGAGATTCATCAAAGAGGGTGCACTGGGTGTTTGCAGAGCGTTCACCGTACTGGGTGCCTTATCAGAGAGGGTACACTTAGTGCTTTGTATGTTACAGGGGGGACACTTAGTACTTGGTTTCAGAGGGTCCACTGGGTGCTTTGCCAGTGAGGGTTCACTGGGTGCTTTGCCTGTGAGGGTTCACTGGGTGCTTTGTCGGGGAGGGTTCACTGGGTGCTTTGCCAGTGAGGGTTCACTGGGTGATCTGCCAGTGAGGGTTCACTGGGTGCTTTGTCGGGGAAGGTTCACTGGGTACTTCGTTAGACAGTGTTATGGGTGCTTTGTTAGAGAGAATACATTAGATGCATTGTCTGCAGTACATCCAAACGAACACAGGAACCGGACTGAAACGTAGGCTGATGGTAAGAAAAGTACGCTGGATGAAAAAGAAAAACCAAAGGTGAAGATGGATAACAGTAGGTTGGGTTAGTAACGCGTTGTGTGAGAACGTTTATTTATTGAATAAGTCACACAGATAAACTGGAGATCGGTCCATTTATAATTTAGTCGTGTTTTCAAGGGTTGAATCATTTTTTTTTACCGTTGTGTCCCTCAGTTAAAGGGATGGTGGATAGACTGGCGAATGAGTGGGGTCATGTTTGTAGGTTCGGATCACGTGTCTGATAATCTTTGTCGTCAAGCCGAATCTTAAGAGCATTATTTTCCCTCAACACGGTGCCTCATGTCCAAGTTATGGACACGCCCATTTTTTTATAATGGCAATACGTTTGGAAGCTCCAACGCCATAGTTGGAACTTTGACAGGCGCAGATCAAGGGGAGAGTCTAAAGGATACAAGACCCCCGAAAAAGTACTGTATAAACCGTGTAGGGGTCTCTTTTGCGCGTAGGTTAAGGACAAAACAAAGAGAATAAATAATTCGCTAACGGCAAAGACTATCAGTACAACTCCTCCCCCTTGTACCAACAAAAGATTCCGAATTCCCCCAGGCAAAAAAATCCTGGATCCATCTGCTTGGTTTTGTGCATCATGCCTGACGTCTTTTTTGTCGAAAACTGTTGGGTTGCTTGAACATTTCGAAATTTCTAGTAATTTCATAACTGACGATATTATTGGATTCCTTCTCGTACTTTATTAAAAGATACAAACAACAGAATTTAGTCCTTTTTCATTTACGGAAAACTCTGACTTGAAGAATACTTATGTTTGTAAAACCAGGGTGGTTCTAGATGGTTTGCATTTGACGTCATCGACTGAAATTCCAACTGTCCGAACCAGACTAATGCCAACGTGAAAATCCCTCATTTGCTAGGCTGTGAGACCCTTTCCCGGGGCAGTATGTCCCTATTCATCCCCCCCCCTTCTGATAGTCTGGTTTTCCTCCAGGCAAAACCAGTGCCGGGTATTCCTTAACCATGCGTGCGATAGCCACGTCGAGCTCCATCAATGTTTCCATAAGTTGGCACGAACAGTACCAACCCTCGGTCTAGTTTGTTTCAGGCATTTTCTATGTAATCATGGTGTGGTACGATCATAACGTGGCTGTTATAATAACACTGAAATTGATCGCAGAAGCAAAGTGCATGAATGGCGGAATAATACATGCATTAGGCCGAGGTACTTCAAAGGACCTAACTTTTCAGCCAGCAAGGCTTAAAGGGTACATGCAATGATTTTTGTTCTTAGATGAACTTTCTGGGCAATTTTATTTCCTTCTTCAGTGAATGAAAGTATTTGGCGTCCTTGGGGGGATATGGCGCTTTAAAAAGTGCACGTTTTTAAACTATTAAATTGTTCATGTTTGAACAACTGAGGGGCACTATTGCTGTGATGCCACGCGGGGATGACACTGTTCACTTTATATTTCCCGATTTAGACAAAAAATCCAAAGTTTTCTCCATGAAAACGTTTTAAAAGAAGGGTTTCTCATTAGCTTACTGCCACATACAAAATCACCAAAGAAAGGGAACTTTAAGACGGTAAAAAACAAACTTTTGAACATTTTCTTAAGCACATATATAATTCAATATTGAGGTGTTCTCCCACAGTTTGGCTCATAAATATTGAGGTTGTCAAAATACTTTCTCAAATAGCACAACATAGATTTAAAATATGGATAATTGACAAGACGAGGGTGTATGTTTGAGGTTTGTATTTTGTAAAAATGCACTGTGTAGGACTTTTTAATGTTATTGACCACCATGAGCCGAAAAATGCTAGGAATGCAGCGATAGGCCGAGAAACAACCATTACCTTTGAACATTACATGAGGTACCATTGCATGTTAATCGAACTATTATTTGGCCCAGGGCGTTGTTGACATGAAGAACGAACCCTTTCAGTGTGAGGAACTTTTATTTTTTTCTTGTTATTCGGACGGAAAACAGTGGTTTTACTTTAAAGTTCGGAACTAATAACACTAATAACGATTTTTCACAAAAACACTGTGTGACCAAGTACATATTCATTCATTGCTTCACCTACTTGGTTTTGAACAGTCAAGCACTTTACAAAAGTACTCTGTACAGCTCAGCTTTAAGCACAGCCTACCTTTATTAAGTTACACTTTAAATAAAATTTCACTCCAACGCACGAACGGATATCAACCACTCAATAAATAGCTGCCTTTCTGCGCTAAATCCTGGGAGAGGAGAACGCGCGAACAAATAATCTAACCAAATCGGACAGCCTTAAAACACTGTTATTTACCCTTCTGCGTCCCCCGACGGACAAAATACGTCCGATTCGCGTCTCTCAAAGAATATGCTAGTGAGGGAATACCCTTGGTTGTTGTAGGTCTTGGGAGGTTGCGAGAAGACAGGATGTGATTTGTGCTGCAGGAAAGGCAAAAATCGAATTTTGAGGGTTGTTTTCAGCTCAGTCTAAACAACTTGATGTATGCCTCAAGATACCAAGCCATTAAACGTAATTTAGTGTCATTCATTTGACCTATATAATCATTTGTCAGAAAAATGCACTCTAGGTATTCAAATTCAACAGACAAGCAGCCAAGCCAGTACCGGGGTTTTGCCGCTCCTGTAGTCAAATTTGAGTCCTTTATAAGAGTGTCTCACATGGTGTTTTCTCGTTCTCCGTCGGAAGTACCGCAATGTTTAGAAGAGGAACTACTGTGAACTAACGCATCGGACAATACACATAGACTATCCATGAAATTGCCACTTTCTTGACATCAGTTTGGTCTTTGGCTTGTTTGAGGGTGCATGTATTATTTAACAGTTTCAAGGCGCCGATACACCTGTGTAGTCAGTGAACATGCCCACACTGCTCAATTTGACTCTGGAGAAATTTCATCTCGTCCACTTCATTGCATGCACGGGAACTGGTAATACATGTATAATGCACCAAACGATGTTGATGGTGAATGCATGCATTTCTTTTGTAAGGAAGATGCATATTGCTTTGTGGTAAGTCAGTTCTTGCATCAAGACCCTCTGGCTGAAAACTTAATTTCAGTTTTATTATTAAATTTACCATCCTCTTGGGTAAACAGGAAAAATGAGAGTGCGGAAGTGTAAAGCTTGAACTTTTATAAAGGTGATAGTTTTGTTCGTTTCTACTACTAGGCCTATTATTGTAAACTGGAGGACGATTTTATCAATTAATCGATAGAGTCACCGTCGCTTATCACGTGGCAAGCATGCAAGCCATTTTATTTCATTTGGTCACAGCAATTTGACAAAAAGAACTTCATGTGACTCGCGATTAATCTTCACAAAAGTCACGAGGGAATCTGGGAAGTTTGAACTTTCACATACTGGACCTAATAAAGTTTTGTACACTGTTAAAATGTCCCTGACACCGGATAACTACTTCGAAAAATGTAACCACACGCTGTAGCTGCAGCAAAACAATTTAGTTCACATGGACATCGTCAAACAAGCTACAAACTCTACGAGTTCTTACAGGAAAAGGGCTGATTGCCAATACAGTATAGCCAGCGGTAAAACACGTCGACTTTAATATGTGTGACGTAAGAGTTCGACTACCTTTCTTCTAGTCTCGCGTACATCTTCCACCAGCCCCTACACAACTGTAAACAAGCTAGATTATCATCGAAACCCTTCAATGAGCTTTGATCCAGTACAAATCTCGCTTTGCTTACTTCCAGGCACAGCAGCGATGCACGTAGGCCACGCGCAAATCCGTGTACTGATTAAATCTAGGACTTAGCGCCACGTGACTGCGTGCTGGCATGCAACGGTTCTTGAACTTCGGTGATGTCATTGACTGATTGTAAAAGCAGTCGGTGGAAAACGACCGACAGCCGGTCTTTGGGTTGATAGTATTGAGGCATTGTGGAAAAGAGAGAAGATCAAAATGTGAATTCGTCCTAGTTTAAATAAAATAGTGCCCGGATGCGCAGATCTGCTAATCACGAGAAACATTGCGTTTGAAATGATGTTGCCTGCGTTGTATAAAGTGATCACAGAGAACAGGTTGTGCCGGGATTCTGTGACCAAACAATAATCATAGTTGACATTTTGACCCTAATGCGGAAATAATTGTATCAGGCTTGGCGTTGGAGGGTACTAAAATTACATATTAGGTTCACTTGAGACGAACCTGTAGCTATGCCACGACCAGACCAATCTACACTGAATACAATAATTCAACCGTCTCTAAATCTTATTAAAGTTGTTTTCAAAATCGAACGGTCCTGGATCGGTTTACATTACGTCCCCTGGCAAAACTGCGTCAGCAAGGCAAAAATAATAAGACCTACATACGTGAACTCTTCGTAGGGTTCAACATATTGCAGGTTCC